ATCGAATTACATTGGAGGTGATTCTCTCTTTTGTAACCGTTTAGCAACAGACGAAACTACGCTTATGAAAGATCATTTTCACGTTTCCATTCTGTGTCTTGACTAAAATTTCGATCAGATTGTGGTTTTTTTAGGCACAGATTATTATCTAACGCAATGCACTTTACTCAATCATCGACGCATTAGGAAAGACAGAAACAGACCGAATAAAAACTGTTTGCTTTGAGAGAATAAATATCTTCGGAACTACTTTTCGTTGTGCAGCGGTGCATTCATTTTAAACTTTATGTAAAATCGTAAAACTTTAAAAACACGATGTTTTATGAGTTTTTCTCGTCACGTAAGTAACATACGTTGAATATGCATAGCGCAAATACAGGGTAAGTACTTTAGGATTATGGCTGCATTGCGACGTCAATGTACGGATTATTCGAGAAGATTGAATTGATGTAATAGACTAAGAGCCAGACAGATGAGAAATTCATTAAAGATAGCCATATTTAAATATAGTCAGGTAATTGTTCTATCAAAGTGATTTCGTTTTCATATCAAGCAGACCGCGCTACACTAGTCCACTTTTTTGGAAATTGGATTTAATTTTTGTACGCTATGTATGCGCGCACAGCGGTCGGTCCCACGTACGCCTTTCACGGATTTAGGAGAATTGCACGACAGTTCTAATAACGACAAACTGCCTTTTTAAGACGGTTTTATTAGCTTGACCTGTATCTACCTAACGGAATCTTTCTACATAATTTTCACTAACTCCAAAACGTCCGGTTAACTTGAAAATTTACGCACGTATCAACGACCATTCACCTACACCTGCAAAAAAATAATATTACTTTGGTCTAATGCAGCGTTTTTCAACTTTTTTACTTAGTGACGCAATAACATTATCTTTAAAAATTTGCGATACCCTTACTTATACGAGTATGTAAAATTTTGATAGATGAAATGATGTTAGGTATAGTTCTGAAGTGTTCTTATAGTATTTAAACTGTATTTACTTCGGTCAAATAACAATTAATACACACCGAATATTTCAGCATCGACATGAAATCGCTTTTTTTAGTTTACCAAAATTTTTTGAAGAAATCAAACCCTGAGTTGGACTGATGTCTTGGTCAAAATAGCTGGTAAAGACTGGGTGCGAAATGCAAGAAGCCAAAATAATGGAGTGCATATGAAGAGACCTACACTCAGCATGGGTAGACAGACCCAGGTTGAAGAAGAGAAAATCTTAAGTTATGAAAGATATCTAAAAAACTCAAGTTAAACAGGACTATATCATACAGATCGCGAATTACATACTGATTTTAGATATGTAACTAACTATTTACGTAAGTGTTGTAAACAGGCCGTAAACAGACAGTTCGTAAAGATGAAGCGGTTATAAACTACTGCACCGAAGTGAACGGACAATCCTGTGGTTTTACTAACAATAAATTAAGTTAATGAGTTATGTTGGCTTGGATCCGTGCTAAAGCGCCTCTCACATTTTATCAAGACGTTGGCCGGACGCGTCAAATTCATTGCGTGTTATGCAAAAAATTCCAATTTTTAATCGATCTTTAGTGATTTCTTGTTAGAGATTAACACATTTATGTTTCCACCTGTATGTCATCTATTACTATTCCAATACGTTCTGTACACATTCATTTGAATGATTTTATTTACATGCAGGACGAGCGAACATTGGCAGCTCTGGTTAAAAGACCGCGGGGGCGATGTACCGATGTTGCATCGATGGCCCACGGTGCACAATGCACCCGCAGTCTGTCCCCTGTCGCACCCGCTGGCCGTTGCCACTGACTTCACGATCATTTACCAACCGCCACCTTTGTGTTGTATTCACACAATAATGTTATTTATAATATTTCGAAATCACAAAGAAATATTTACAATTGTTTTACATTGTCTCCTTTAAGCAAATTAATTATTGCTATATTTTGCTTAGGCCATATTATTGATTTCATTATATATAATAGTAATGTTTCATTTGAAAAGTTAATATTCGGTTATGTCTCTACGTCAAAAACTGTTGTACAGGGTATAGGTATTAACATTAGGTATAGGTATTAATATAGGACCTCTTGTGAGTCTGCGCGGGTAGGTACCACCACCCTGCCTATTTCTGCCGTGAAGCAGTAATGCGTTTCGGTTTGAAGGGTGGGGCAGCCGTTGTAACTATACTTGAGACCTTAGAACTTATATCTCAAGGTGGGTGGCGCATTTACGTCGTAGATGTCTATGGGATCCAGTAACCATTTAACATCAGGTGGGCTATGAGCTCGTCCAACCGCCTAGGCAATAAAAAAAAAAAATTAACATGTTCTAGTATTTTCTAAACGAGTTTCATTGTGTACCGTGAAGAAAAGGTTACGCAATGAAAATTTCTAGATTGCAATTTTGTTTACTTTTCGTATCGCACTCGCCTAGTTGTGCTGGGTGTATTATTTGAATACGCTCTATGGAAAAGTGATATTTCTCGTTTAATAAGCTTCTGAGATGAGATATCATTTTGTTCCTAGCAATTCACTACACAAAATCCAAAGCAAGCGAAAGCAAAGTTGATACTCTGTACCCTTGTGAATGAACAAAGAATATTTATAAGCTCGTCGCCAGTAAGATGGAAGTCCTGTTTGCGCAGTGCCGCGTGAAAATGTGGCGTGAGTGACCGGATGCCGGCTAAAACACAGAGCTTGTTCAGGCGTTGGTCAGCCGCAGTCATCCTGCCTTCGTAGTATCGTTTTTTTTACTTAAGTTTTATTATATTATGTACTAGCTGTACCCGTTCGCTTCGGTGGGCATTTAAAATTTACATTATTATTTCTCATCCCCACAAAGATTATCCACATTAGATTACAAAGATTTTGACGAGACTTTCACTGATAGGTAGCTGATGATATAAGGAGTAACTTAGGCTACTTTTTTTAAGACTAGCTTCGCCCTGCGGCGTCACCTGCGGCACGACAATAACCGCGGGTAATATCGCGGGTCTCAGCTATCAATAATAAAATTTAATGTTTTCGAAGCGAAGGTGGGTCGCTAGTAATAAATAACATGGTAGAATATAAGAATGAAACAAGTAAATAGTAGTTGTTTCAATTTACGAGTATGTACTTATCACACTTTAAAACCAAACCTCATTTATTAAATTTAATTCCACTTGGTTGTATATAATATGAGATAAGTTCATATTGTATAAAATTACAGTAAGTACAAATGGGGGTGTTAACTGAGAACAACACGTTTCTTTAAATGTTTTGTCTTTGTCTAAATAATCAAAGATATAGCTTGTCGCATACGATCCTTTACTTAGCACTCCCAAGGAAGATTGGCATCGAATGTGTAGTCACTAATAAAATATACATTAATTAATGCCGGATAAAGACTTCAAGAATAAGCATAACGATTAGAAGAGTATTTCAAATTGTGATCATGAGTAATTTTTGTCAGATATGCAGTAGCAAAGCTTAATAAGAAACGTCATTTCTAAGAAATAAATATTTACTGAATGCCCATACTTGATTACAATATAATACGCACGATTCTCATACGTTCTACGATATACATATATTGTGTGCTTTGTTGGTGTGCATTTTCATCACAGCCAAGTTTCGCACTGTAATAACGGCTCCTCACTTGATTTTTCATTATGATATAGCGGTAGTACACATCGCCATAATTTACATAAATTTATCTATTCGGTAGAACAACACAAAATATAGTGAAGTGCTGGAAATTAGCCAAACTGATTTCGGCTTGGGTAAACAGGAAGAATAAACACTAGCCATTTATGATCCAGCCATTGTATTATACCTATATATACGGGTCACGGTCATATTTTAGTTTGTTCCGTCTCTTTTCCGGGCTCTAGTTATGAAGTGGAAGTTAAATATGAGATGTTATCATGTTCTGTACATCTAGGCTCAGTCTAGACGACGATAGAATGAGATTAGGAAGAACAGCGAGGTTGGAGTGGTTTAGTGGATCTTTCCCAATTTACCACGCATCTGCACGTGGACTGATGATTCAGCTATTCAATATACCGCTACCAAAGAGGTTATACTACGAAAGATTTACGGTCAATTATCGCTATTTCGATAAAGCGGCACAACACGAGAACCCTCTCATCCTGGCCGCCGTTAACTATATACTCGATTCTGCGGACCGAATGGTAAACAGTCGACGTCGCCCAAAACACGTTATTTCGGATCCTCCCGAACTCCCCACTAACGGTGCTCTTAGATACCTCAGGCACCGGTCATCGTTCTCGTCGAACTCGTCGTTTGCGGCGAAGGGCTCGGCGAGTAAATTAACCCACAGGATCTTCTCAGTGGATCGCGTTTCCGATCCGGTGATAGATTCTGCAAAGCACGGTTCTTGCTAGGGCTCGTGTTAGCAACGTCGTCAGGTTTGAACCCCGTGAAATCACTTACTCGCTCGGTAACGCTGATATGGTCTATCAAGATCATCAGCTAGGGTAGGGAAAAAAAAGAAGTAAATTATCATCGGATTACAATGATGCTTTAGTTTGTTGTTATGTTCCGAATCAGCATTTTTAGCAATTTATGTGTAATTCATGAGTCGTAGTCATATTCAACACTATTGAAAGGATGTGATAATAGATAGCACTAAATTGCCTCTTACCCACTGCCTCTTACCTCCTTAGGCTACCAACGATTAAGACAGGAAAAAGAAAGGCTATATATTTACGAATGTTGCATTTATACCTAATTTGGCTAAAACGAGTCAAATAAACTTAAACACGAAAATTTAAGTTAAATAAATATAACGCATTTGGATTATTGAAACAAAGGAATAGAAATAAATTAGTATTTAAATACATTTATAATTCTAGTAATAACTAATATATGTTTCAGAAAAGGTGGGTGAGTAGTTAAGGTGGGAAAATGAAAACAAATATTATAATTTTGCAAGATTTTTAGAAGTTTATTATGACTTTTTAATTTAAGTTTTACAAATATTACAAGGCTTAGAAATGGCTTTCTTAATTAAAAAAATCACTTAATTTATGAATTACAAGCCTTTCATCCGTTACCTTTTTATCAAATTATTTGATGCTAGTATTAATGAATTCCAATGCGTCGTCTATCGTTTTCAAAGTTTCTTTTGTTTTTTCCGTCAGCGCAGATACGTTGTCAATAGAAGACTTCGGTACTTCATTCTGTAGCGAATCCAAAATTTCAATTTCTCTTTGTACTTTAAAAGCCACATCTTCCTTTAGCGGCTGTAATTTAGCTAAGTAATTTTCAACAGTTTTTTCGTCATCCAATAATTTAAAAATGGATTTAAAATTTTCTTCGTCCTGTACTTTGATCACATCTTCTATCTCTAAGATTTTCTCATGTAGCAGTTTTTCAATAATTTTTTTAGGAGGTTCGGTATTTGGTTTATCGTTTAAATTATTCACGTCGGGTATAGGGCCAATCTTGAAGGCAGCTGAAATAAATTAAAATTGTGTGATAGTAATACAAATTTAATAGATTGCCAATACAGTGTAAAGAAATAGAAAACAAACCTCGCCTGATAATATGGTTTTCGTGACAATGAAGACAGTATTCTCTGTATTTAGTTACCATTTTATCTAGGTCGACTAATTTGGAATTAATATGAAAATTATTTTGTTTTATTAGTTGTAGCTCATCAGATATTTTAGAATCTTGAATATAATTCGAAAAGTGGACATAGTTATCTTGAAGACCCAATATGTCATGCATTGTAACTCCGAACCTTTCTACCGCTGCCTCTTTAAGTTTTATTGAAAACTGTATGCTTTTCTCTTCAATATTTTTTACATTTTCTTCACGTATTTTATTCAATTCAGCGATAAATGTTGGTTGAAATTCTGTCATCGTTTCCATTATTACTTTATTTATTTCGTTATAAGTAGAACAGTAAAACTTCTCGTCTTTTGTGATCTGTTGTCTATTGCTCAGCATTCCTTAAATGTTAATTATAAGTTATGGTCAATACATTTTTGTAATGGTGTATTATTTGTGTAGATATTGATTACATTATTCAAATTCTTTAATAATTTGATGAAGACAGAGAAAAATCGAATTTCATGTTTACTTAATTGTTTGACTGCTAAGATCACGAAAAGTATGGCTTAAAGTTTTTTTTTACGAGAAATACTATTATAATAGAACTATTAAGCTTCGTAAAAATTTTTGATAAATAAAGTTGTAGCATAGGTATATCGAAGTAATAAACCTATTTGATAAAAATTTTGTCGTTTCGTTTTCCTCCCCACTAGGAAAATAAAATATTTTATGCACGCATTAAGGTTATGTACTCACTGTTTTGAACTCCTGTCAATTCACAGTTCGATTCACACAAAATCTTTAATTTCCCTAAATTGAAAATATACTTATTCGTTTCGTTTAGCGCAGCATTGAAATCCCGTTCTAACGAAGGAAACTGTTTCAATAAAAGTACAGTTTTGTTAACCAAAGGTTCAAGTTTAGCTCGCATCTGTACCATGTCATCCAAAATATGAATCAAATGACGAGGACTATTTTCAAATCTATCTTCGATGACTTTGTATTTTTCTTGAAAACTTTTCAGTATAATTGATGTGTTACGGAAGTTACTGTCATTCAAGGATTTTTGAATATTCATATCTAATTCCTTATGATTGATGATTGATTTCAGGTCACTTTCGCTGTAAGCACTTTCACCGGGTCCACATTCTTCAATTTTATGTTCACCTTGCAAAGATTGGAATGTCAATGTTTAAGTTAATTTTGTTCAAATACTTAAGAGTTTTCTTGAGACAATACCATTATAATACATATCAAAATGTTAGTATCACCGAAAATCATCATCAAAAGCACACTCGTCCTGCTGGACATATGCTTCTCCTAATAGGGACAATTTCTAGTTCTTCCTGACCTTTCCTAAGTCCGGGTTCCATTTGGTCTTCATCTAATAAATGTAACGTAAATGCCGCCATCCACATTGAGATATGAGTTCTAGCTTTTTTTTTTTTTTTATTGCCCTTATAGGCAGACGAGCATACGGCCCACCTGATGGTGAGTGGTTACCGTCGCCCATGGACTTCAGCAATGCCAGGGGCAGAACCAAGCCGCTGCCTACCGCCTACCTGTTCCTTTGTATTGTGATTATTGTAAAAATTACATAAAGACATCCATTTTATCAGGTTTCAGAAATGATAAAATGNAGTTCTAGCTTCTTTTTTTTTTTATTGCCCTTATAGGCAGACGAGCATACGGCCCACCTGATGGTGAGTGGTTACCGTCGCCCATGGACTTCAGCAATGCCAGGGGCAGAACCAAGCCGCTGCCTACCGCCTACCTGTTCCTTTGTATTGTGATTATTGTAAAAATTACATAAAGACATCCATTTTATCAGGTTTCAGAAATGATAAAATGATAATCATAACATATTAAGATGAAACCATAACCATAATATGTTCATATGTACATAATACGAGTATACCTGATCATAAACCTAAATGCTATTCAATATGTAATTTGATAACATACAGCAAGGAGCTAATGCGCCTGAGACTATGATATCTGCAATCTGAAATGTAGTCGAAAAGTTGAAGAAAATCACAGATTTCAAAATCGAATTATTTATTCGCTGTACATTAAACGTTGTACTTAAAACGCTGTACATTATTACATTTTAAACGAAGAGAAGATTTTACTTATGACATTTATTTACCAAGTATTATAATTACACAATTAATAAATATCGATAAGTATAGATTTTAAGAAGTAGTACCTAACGGGTTTTTTGTTGAAGCAAATAAACAGACAAGCTTCCGACTCATCTGATCTTTACCAGTTACCGGAGCCCACAGACACAAATACAGGCAGACAGTTTGAAATATGATTCTGAATCGCATACGAATAACGGCTGCCGTATCCTTCATACAAGATCCTTTGATAGTTTTACGGCAATGAGATGCCTAAAATTTGTCATAATTCGGCTGTGCACCTTTTACTGTGTCTGGAGATTAAGGTGCTGGTTATGTATGCATTTGTTGAGGGGCCCGAGCATCGTCTAACTCCTAGAGGCGGCTTAAGGCGGCTTATGGCTTTGGACTCCGAGGCAGACATACTATTGCAACTAAACACTTACAGAAAAGGACGTAAAATGTTTATGATCGAAAAAAGCTACCGAAGAGTTACGTGGTCTATTCTATACAATTGAATAGTTGTTGTTTAAAATCATTAACGCCATTAGAATGTGACATGTCTAAGCTACGTGAGACTCGCGTTTCGAATACAGATTCTCCAGTCTAAAACGGGACTTATTACGCTTCAAGATCAACTACAATTCAAGAAAGGATGTTCAGAAAAAAATAACGTTGAATATTAGTTTACTTTAAGCGCGATTAAGTCCCGTTTTAATTGTTAAATAAGAAAGGTATTTATGTTAACTTTTATGAATTGCTCAATCCTTCGATACATACCAAGTAAGCAGTAATGCGTTTCGGTTTGAAGGGTGGGGCAGCCGTTGTAGCTGTACTGAGATCTTAGAACTTATATCTCAAGGTGGGTGGCGCATTTACGTTGTAGATGTCCATGGGCTCCAGTAACCACTTAACACCAGGTGGGCTGTGAGCTCGACCACCCATCTAAGCAATAAGAAAAAAAAGGTTCCAAAATGCGATGAATATTGTGTGTGCATCAAAGACAAATTACAAAATGTTTTTCGTTGTACATTGAAATTAGTTTGATAAACAGCAACAGGCAATTTTTTGTTAATTTAAATATTAATTAATCTAGAGTAATCGAATATTAGTGGCTTGGTTTGTTTGTTTTTGTTCCGTGAGTTCGTTCATCGTTACTTGATTGGGCTAAAACTTNTTCCAAAATGCGATGAATATTGTGTGTGCATCAAAGACAAATTACAAAATGTTTTTCGTTGTACATTGAAATTAGTTTGATAAACAGCAACAGGCAATTTTTTGTTAATTTAAATATTAATTAATCTAGAGTAATCGAATATTAGTGGCTTGGTTTGTTTGTTTTTGTTCCGTGAGTTCGTTCATCGTTACTTGATTGGGCTAAAACTTGGTACAGCTATTTTTTCGTATTTGAGGACAAATTTGTCAGATTTATTATCTTTAGGATAGATAGCATGCGGGCTATTTCAAGAATTTCAACAAATGAGTGATCAACAATCATAGCAATATGTGTCACCTCACTAGTACTATTGGAAAATGAAATTGTACCTTCAGCTTCCTCAGGCGTTGTTATAAATGCTTCAGTGGTTATGTCGAAAATTTCGGTGGGCGTAACCCAATCCGTCGTCGTCGAAAATGGAGTAGTCGGTCGAATTTTCTCATTACTTGGATATGATTGCTTACGTTTAAACCAATGCTTTCTTTTTTTCGTAAAGACATTAGTAAATAAACTATGGAATAAAATTGAAAGAAGTATTAATTTCGTTTGCATGTTCAATAGTGAATAAAATAAGAATGTGAAATAAAAAAAAACGGCTTTTATAACATACAGTAAAATTTTAAATATTTACTAGTTATTCGTTCGTAGTATTTTAATAGATATTTACCGGAAACACGGAAATTCTTATAATTATTTTGAATACTTCTAGTAGATAAGAAAGGCATGTAAATGTAAAATATTTTTTATAATCAATTTTAAGGTTAAATTCTAAAAAAAATAGATACAGAATTTTTAGTTGTTTCTAGACCGTGAGTCATAAATCTGTGCGTATTAACATTGATTAATGTTGTAATGATGTACGGGCACACAGACTAATTTTATTTTTGTTCACAGAAATCGATTTTTGATTTCTGTCTTTTTTATATTTTTATCATTGGGCTACGGGGAGCTAAAATATTGTAGGTACGCTGTAATAAATAGTATACTTCGTTGTACATTCAATTAAATTAAATATATCATTAACAATAAGTCATAGATAAAAGTAATCATTTGAAGACTGGACATGATTCGTCTAACCAAAGTATTTAGAGGTATTTTTTTTAATAAATTTAATAAGTCCGACGTTTACCGCCATTTTGTACCTATGACTGTATGAAAATTACATGCGCATATGTAAGCGGGGACGTGTCCTTAGTCTGAAGTGGCGATGGTTCAAGGTGTCAAATGAATGCAACTGACCCGCACGCTTGCAGTGCGTTATATCGTTCGTCTAGAGGGCAAATTCTAAATTAAAAAAAGTCTTCGAAAACTACTTACCATAAATTTTGATTGATCAAAATTTCATCGATAGCTCAACGATTAGTTAAAGTCACTACCCAGCTTCTGTGAGTATGTGGTTGGTAGCCATCATACAACGCAAGATAATTGACAGATGCCTGAATCTCGCTTACGACATTTTCAAGACAAGCTTGCATATATACAAGTTCCGAACAACAACATTTGGACATTCCCGATCCTGCGGACAGAATGGAAAGCAGTCGACGTCGCCCAAAACACGTTATCTCGGATCCTCCTGATCCACTAACGGTGCTTTTAGGTACTTCAAGCACCGGTCACCGTTCTCGTCGAACCCGTCGCTTGCGACGAAGGGCTCGACGAGTAAATTAACTCTCAGACACAGCCCACTGAGTTTCTCGCCGGATCTTCTCAGTGGGTCGCGTTTCCGATCCGGTGGTAGATTCTGCGAAGCACGGCTCTTNTTTCAGTGACCAGGTCTCAGCGCCATACGAAAAAATCGAGAAAACTAGAGTCCGTACCAGTTTGGTTTTGGTCTTTACGGATATGTTGCGATCTCTCCAGATTTTTCCGAGCTGAGTCATGGCACTCTTAGCCATACCAATTCTTCGGCGCACTTCCTTCTCGCACGAGCCATTGTTACTAATGTTGGAACCCAGGTAGTTAAAATTGCCCACTATTTCTAGGTCTAATGCGCCAGTGAGTTCCAATTTTCCAGACCTATCCACCACCATGACTTTGGTTTTGGACCAAAAAACCCAAAAGTACCTTAATAAGAGACATGAATTTCGCTTTCCTGTCCGTATTTTCCTACCATTATTATTGCTCGCAAGGCGTAATATATGAACTCACTAACCACTGGGACCAATTCTGGTTCTATCGTAATTTCTCCCTAGTATTAGATATATTTGTCCAATTCAAACTCCAGTATAAACTGGATTATTTTCCATGGACATATTTTCTTCACTTCCACAGGTTAAAAAATGTGTTCTCAGAGAACTATCTCTGAAGCGCCATAAATTATGGACTTACCGTGTGCTTACCGTAATAGGAATGCCTAATGGTTTAAATTACAAATACAGTTAAAACTACTTTTAATCTTGATTTAATTATAATCTCGCGTTTGTATACCGTTATTACCTATATTATTTCCGACGTTTCGTACACTATATAGTTTTCGTGGTCACGAACGACTAACGTGTTATTCGTCAATATTTGAACATTGTGCGAAGATTAAAACGCAAAAGTAGTTTTAGTTATACCTTACGACTTGTGAAAACCAAATAAAATATGATACTGTACAAAAACAGTATCTTATACCTTTAAACGAGCAATTCTTGTATATATATATATATAATCTCAATCTCGAAAACGGTTCCAACGATTTTCATAAAATTTAGTATACAGGGGATTTCGGAGGCGATAAATCGATCTAGCTACGATTTATTTTCAGAAAATGTTGTTTTATTCGTGTTTTCAATAATCAACTTTTCCCGACATCTATTGGCGAATAATAATACTATTTTTCTTAATTGAGGGCAACTAACCAAGATGGCGTTATCAAAAAAAAAACCGAGCAAAGCTCGGTCATCGTCTAGTTAGATTAATATGTTATCAAGGCCCACAGGCACACCTATGAACACATACCTATGATAAGGTTTACGTTACCCAAAAAGTATCGATTGGAAATTTTAAAATAAAAGCTAACGGCACAAAAAAAATCTACATCGTTAACGAAGATACTGTGAATAAATATGCAAGGTAATTTGATTTTTCATTTTATAAAACTTCAGTGATCCGTAAAACTTTTTGTAGAGAGCCCTTAAAAGAAATTAACAACGTCATTAACCAACAAAAATTTCTAGATTTAAATCAAGCTCTGTTAATTAATTCTAAGTTAATTCAAAATTCATGTAGCTTGCTAGATTGATCTTGAAAATTATTATGTTATAGGTTACTAAGCTTTATATAGGAACACGTTTTATGATGAAAGGTTTTAAAAAGGATCGATTCTCTTAACTTCAATTTGCAGGTACATGGGTGCTCTGTAACCCAAAGCTTGATAAAACTTAAAAGAATCAAATTTTCTAAATAGGATTTCACAGATCAGATAAATTATATAAAATAGATTATATGTTATATCTTATATTCGAGCCTTGCAAATGACCATGACCGGTCGATTCTAATGTCATACACTGGACCTGTCGTTTCGTTTTTTTTACAAATATTTCGTTCAAATTACTGACTATAATTTAAGACCTTACAAATATTACAATATGCTTAAAAGCGAAACGACACTACAAAAAAAAATACGTGTATAACACGAGGGCTTTTACAGTCTGTAAGTTGTACGGATGAAAGAGAGGAAGGGCCAGTCTGGGTTTGGCGGGGACGTGGGGTCGGCGGCGTTCAAGGTGAAGGCCACCCCTGCCACCGTCATGAAACTAATCACCTCTACACACATTTGGTGCAGAAGGTGATACACACTGCTGCGCTGAAAATCTAATATGATACTTATTTTTATATTAATAAAATCATGTATTTATTGCCTCTCAAATAGAAAACGCTTAGATTTTTACACGTAAATAAAAATATATATAAAAGAAAAAACATTAGGAGCTAGCACAGCTGATGTTGTCCGAAGTGGATGCATTGAACAGCGCTGATTTTCAGTAACCCGTTCCCCTTTGGTGTTGTGCGGGATTTAATAGTCTAAAGTTTAAAAACTAGAAAAATCAAGGGAGAAAAAAAACAAGAATCCAATGACGAAGGTTTGGATATTGGACTATGAATATTTTTCAAAATTTTACTGCACTCTGAAACGGCTGGACCGATTTCGATGTAATTTTCATAACGCAATATCAAACAAATCTTTTTCTTCGTTTATGCACTTTAATAGTCATAATATTCTAGTGGCAATTGGATTGAACTGTTTAGTTTTTCCGACGTTTATGGCTTAATTAATTTATCTAATTCAATCGTCTTTGGTAATTACACCAACTTTCACTCCAAAAATATATCTCATACAATATAAACACGTTTGCCAATTGTAATCGATAAAAATTTTTTTTAGAAATGTGAGCAGAAACGATCTAAAAACTGTCATTCGAACTAGGACTTTTATCTACCATACCTGATGCCACTAACCACTTCACCAAGGAGGAACTCAATATAAATATCTAAAACTTTTTTAAAGAGTTTTTCATAAACAGAATCCTTTGATATGGGTGTGATATTAGAATTATTACCTCAATACAAGTTACTACGAGTATTCTATATACATATATTTATATATACAATAATATTATAAGTATCATTTACTATATATGCATTATCTAGGTACTGGTTACTAGGTACTGGTGGTAGGACCTCTTGTGAGTCCGGACGGGTAGGTACCACCGCCTCGCCTATTTCTGCCATGAAGCAGTAATGCGTATCGGTTTGAAGGGTGGGGCAGCCGTTGTCACTATACTGAGAATTTAGAACTTATATCTCAAGACGGATGGCGCATTTACGTTGTAGATGTCTATGGGCTCCAGTAACCACTTAACATCAGGTGGGCTGTGAGCTCGTCCACCCACCTAAGCAATAAAAAAAAAAATAGTAGCATTGTTTTCGTTGATGTGTTAACTTTTGTTGTATTCTTTGTGCAATCAAAACTGTTTTGTGTCTAACTGAACACAACGGTCGTATGTCAAGTGAACCGTGAACACAGCGTGAAGGGCGGGCGGTACTACAGACCGGCTACAGAATATCCGGCATCCATCTTTATGACGACACAAATATACCTACCTTTTCGCGCTTGTACGTTTCTTCATAAGAGTGACAAAGCGGCAATACATAGGATAATTGTGCTTATCGAATATAATGCACGTAAAGCTGGGCTGTGCAGACTATCTGTCGGCGCAGACAGAATGCAATTAAATGACGTCATGAGCCACCTTGTGCAAGGGGACGCTAATCACTCACTGCCGCCGCCTCAATTTTGTTTTGTATAGTTACAGATATGCACTCACCTCACGATACTGTCGGAGCCTAAAGATACTATCAGTAGATAGTTAATAAACAAATTTGAATCGTTGCCTAATACATAAAACGCCCAATTTACTCGTAAACATATTACAGAGATATGACTATTTGTGCGGGCGCCAGTTTATTTAATCATGTCTTTCTGCTCCGAAGAATTCATTTGTTCCAGTTTGAAAGGTGAAACGA